AAATGATATCAAAAAGACTCCAAAATGATCATAAAAAGTCATTTTTCAATCATTTCCAATTCATTTTAATATTATTTTGACGTTATCGTGACTTGTTGTTCTGTTTGAATATCTTGTTATAAATATCCCATAGATATCTATGGCGAGATAACTACAAGATAACATATACATAGATTATATAAAATAAATTAAGTGAACTCAAAAGCGTTAAAAGCAGATTAAGTAGATAGTAGAATTTATTATTCCATTAAAACAGATTTGCTATCGCATGATAATGTTTATCGGACAATTTTATCATGAAATCGTGTTCAGTCGATTCTATAATAAATATCTGCGTTACACATGATGAACTATTTATAGATGAGCTTCATTGAAAGACTTATCGCGATTCACGAATAATTCCGCGACATTAAAATTGAAACTAATGTCATTGTGTTAAATGAATCATAAATCTAGTGTTTATGCGCATGCAACCAGAATAATATTCTTCTTCGATTTTTCTTTATAAAAAAATTTCTATTTTTTGTATCTATTTTTTTAAATTTAAATATATTTATAATTTTAAATATTTTTGCAATTAATTTTCCTCTAATTTCAATTCTTGAGTCAAAATTTTTAAAATAAAGTTCTCTGGTAATACTTGTAAACTTTCGAGCGACACAAAACATAATACTACAAAAAAAAACAATGTGTTTAATACTAAGTTACCAAAGATAATTTTGATATGTATAATAACAAAAATTTAATTATATCTCAATAGAAACGAATCTCTTTCTCTCTTTTTCCAATGAATGTAGCTTTCATGAATATTCAATATTAGCTATTATCGGCGATAATGTGTAACCGGCTCTAAGCTGCGGAAATTTCCTTGAAGCATCAGAAGAACAAAATCGAACGCTACAGTTATGTCTATTTACAGCAATCGCGTGAATTTACGTGATTCAATTTCTGGCAGCCGCGGTCGCGGCGATGCGACTAGCACGAGTAGCATAGCGTAGACGTAGCCGCGGAAAAGATCAATACCGCACCTCCTTGGCACGGTTACCGTGGATCTCCGCGTAGCACGTCCCAATCTTTTCTCAATCGAGAACGTCGACACCTTTCTGTTCTCGTCTGGCATGTAGGACCTGGTTCTCGTGACAAAAATACCGCGCTGTGAGACGAAAATAAATCGGCATCAATATTTTCGATACTCATGTAAACACTTAGCAAAAGATGCAGAATATACTGTAGTGATTTCAGAATCAAAGAATTTGAATCAAGATTTAGGTAAATTTATAATTTACGACTAATATCATAATTATATCTTCTACCATTCTCGATTGTATTTAATTTCCTCAACGTTATCTTGTCGACAATATTTTCTTAATGATTTCTACATAATATAGAATTGCAACTTGTAAGCAATATTACGAAAGTTTATGTAGAGATGCTTGCATAAAAAGTAGTAAAATTATAATTCTTCTAAAAATCTTATAATTGAAATATTTTTCATTTCTGATTCCTATTTATATACGTAATATAAAATTGCAATTTATAAGCAGTGTCATAAAAATTTATGTCGAGATGCTTGCATAAAAAGTTTTGTAATTGAAATATTTTTCATTTCTGTTATCACTGTGTCGAAAGTAAAACTTCCAAATGCAAGCTTATTCTAAAATTGAAAAAAACTTTAGTATGTCAAAATATATAAAAATAATTAAAACTTGTTTAATTAAATTTATACTCTTTGTTCACAGAATTTAAAAATATAAAAATTTCAAAATATCACTCCGAAATTAATTAGTTCAACTATTTCAGAATATTGAAAACGAATGCATATGATTGCATAATAACGCAACAAATAAATATTGCCTTGGCCTTAACCATAAATATAAATAAAAATTACTTGAAATTCTTGAGAATTACATCATTCGAATGCATTATATTATCAGTATAAAAAGTACTAGCGTGATAATTCAAACAGAACTAGAATAACTCAAACAATGCTAGAGAAATGTTTTTCTTCAATCATTAAAATATTTCCAATTTAGTCTGACGCTAACTTGCATATATATTTATATGCAGGTTAAAATTTGCAGTTTTATTAATTCGATCGAAATAACAATTCGCCTAAACAATAATGAAGCAACATTTTCTTTAATTATTAAAGTAACATCTCCGACTTATACTGACGATAACTTGTATGATTTTTAGTTTTAATGAAGAGCTTGCTTTAGACATCTACGCTTCAGGAAGATAATAGCGGTATGACTCATAGTTAAGAAAATTCCGGCAAAACTTAAAAAAGACGCAAAAAATTGCGATTCTCTATAACTTGTAGTCACAATAATCTGACAATAAACACATTTCGCAATTAAGAGTATGTGGACACAGTGGCTCAGCTATTAGTTGTGTTATTAATAAGATAAGAAACACTGACGACACTAAGAAACACAAAGTCGTCATCATTGTTATTCACATGTGTTATTCACGAGGAATAATATTCCCGCGACCAAGAATGCCGTTATCTGAAATAATTTCACAGTAAAGTGACGTCGACATAAATGCGTTTTGCAATTAAATCGTTCTTGATATCAAGCGGTTATAAGAATCGCTACAGCACAATCCGATAGATACACGAGTCGTCCGCGCTCGCTTTTACCTTCATATAATTCATCCAGATCGATCAGAAAATTCGACAGGCGCAAGGAACCAAGGAACGTTTCACTCTCCGAAGTGGTCACACCTCTGATCGACATTTTTCTCAGGTCGCTCCAAATCACGCAATTCTCGTTGCAGCGTAAATCGCACTACCGAAGGTCCCTTACTTCGACAGAAAATTTATTAACTCGTTCCTTCTGATAATAAAAGATTCTTGAGAGATACTAGAGGATGCGGCGAATGAATTTTTTGCGATATCGCAGAAACTCTCAAGAAATATAATCGTTCGCAAGAGATACGACGATAGATATATCGAGCTCGATACTGGCGAAGTGACTTTTAATAGCGCGTCGTCGTTGTAGCGCGCTTTTAGCTATGTCGAAGACATCACGTTAAATAATGTGCTAATCACCATGTTTATCAACCGTGCCAGCACCGTATGAGTCACAAAAGCGAACGAAAAATCATGAAGAATATCGAAACAATTTCAAACGTGTAATATAAATTCAGACGCGACAAAAATGATCGCGAACTCTGATCATATTTCCCGACTGGATTACGAACGCGAAAACGATAAGAGAGTTAGTTTACCAATTCCTGATGATATCGACGAACAAACGGTAAGTATAAATATTTGTTCGGAAAATAATTGAACTAAAAGTTCGATTTTGAAATATAATAACAAAAATTTAATTTAATAAAAAATTTAGCAATTAAATGTTATCTTAATGCTATATGATGTTATATGATTAAGATAATTCATTAAAAAATTATTAAATTAAATCGTAATTTATTTCTCTAAATATAACTAATCTTTTTTCCTTCTTTTTCATATATTATTTTAGCGACACTGAGAAAAATGTTCTGGTTATACCAACAAGAAATACAGATAAAATATATTCATATAAATCAAAATTTTGATTATCATGATTTCTGTCTCAACTTAATAGATTCAATTATAAGTGTCTGATTTGTAGCTTTTTGGATAAATCTATATCAAAAGTCCAATTAATGCAACAAAATCTTTTTTCCAATGTAATAATTGATTTTTTGAAGCTTTTAAAGTTGTTAAAGTCATTTATGAATTGAGACACATTAAAAAAAAATAAGAACTTGAGTAAAAAGTTAATTATGACTCACCCAACCTAATGAATCGAATTAGACCGGAATTGGAAAATGTACAAGATTTCACGGAGCGTATCTTCGTCAGCTAATTATCGACGAAATTCGACTCGGTTGTGCAATAAGCTATTTTCGCGGAATTTTTTAAACTTCACGTATGCTACTTTCAGAATTCACCATTAACGTCGACTTTTGAATTTGCCGTGTGATTACTGCAAGGAGCTGTTTTCTCTTGAGAAAACTTGCAAAATTTCCACGTAATCACCACTTTATCTCGGGACTTACGATTGTGCATAACGCGACTCAACGAGGGATGTCGCGAAACTACCGTGACGACCGAATTGTAGTTTACTTCTAAGAAGCTAATTTTTGTCCTCTATTCACGTTCCGAAAGTCTCGCCTCGCACTGCCGAGACGAAAACCGTCGGCATCATTGTGACGATGGCCAAAATACTATCGGCCGTCTGTAGAGGCAAGGTCTTAGGCTGCCTGCCAATTTCTGAAATTTTCACTCGCGTTCATCAACAGATTTTGTGTCAATGAAAATGCAGTTAAAACTCCACGATACAGACAATTCGAAAAAACAAATTAAATACAATCCTCATTACGCGAATAATCCACTCGAATGATTGCCAAAAGTTAAAGCAGTAATTGGAATTAAAATCTCAATTTGATAAATCGGGTAAATTTAATAATTCGCATGTTTGAAAAATTGATACAAAATTGATATTGCGATATGATGAGATGAAAAATTGCAAAAAATCTGGTAATGATTTTGTCCTTGTGACTTTAAGTTCATCACTATTCAAAAAGTTAAAAAATATAGTTTATATTTTCAACGGATGAATACAATATTGAAGCATCAAAAAATTATTTCAATTCATCTTATATTGATCAATGAAAAATTTTTAGATATTTGTTCATATCTTAATTACAAATTTTTTCCTGGCTTTCTCGATTATTTATTTATTATTTTTAAAACTAACATTTCCGTATCTAGCATCACGAGAATAAGAGAGTTTTGATGATTAAAAATCTCCAAGGCATTTGTCTTCCTTTCGCGGCTGCAGCATATAATTCATATCGATCTCCATTCCTCTTGCGAACTTTAATTAACTTCGCCTTTCGTGCGGCCAAATAAAACGTTGTATGCTATGAGTGATTTCTGACTACTATGATGCATCATCTAATTTCACGATATACATTTCGTGCTCGTTTTGTAGTATAATTGTAGAAGGTGATCGGCCACTTGAAGCGCAAAGTCACGGAAAATACAGCGTCTAATTTTACCTTCGCTGAGAAAAAAATTGCAAAAAATCTGATAATGATTTTGTCCTTGTAACTTTAGGTTCATCACTATTCAAAAAGTTAAAAATATAGTTTATATTTTCAACGGATGAATACTTTCAAAAAGTAATTTCGTTCTTTATAATATAAGTAAGGAGTCAAAGGATAGCCTTGATGCAACGAATACTCGTCAAAGACTAAAATACTGTAATTTCTAAATTAAGCTACACTTCAAAAAGCTGAAGAATAATTTTGACTCAATAAAGTCTGTCAAAGAATAACACCCTGGCAGCTTTGACTTTAAAACCATTATTCTCTCTATTTAAAATCATTATCTTGCCTTGTTATGATTACATGTTGTAACGGTTCGCTCTTCGCACTAATAGATTAAAACCAGTTACATCATAAAATAACAATTGATGATACTCACGATCGCGATGGTGATCCACATTGTGGCTCGGAGTTGTCGAGCTGTCGGCGTCGCCCTCGCCATCCAATTCGTAAAAGAGCCTGCCTGTGTCACCGTTCACCTCCTTCACGACATTCATGGCCATCACATCCTCCATAATTCTGCAAATGCGTTTGTCATCTTGAGTGCTCGCTTTATTTAATTATCCGCGTTGATGTGGCTGCATTATCAGCCATTGATTTCACGATAAGTGAAATTTCGCGCGCAGATTGCAAGGCTTTGTGTAAGAAGATGTTTAAATACAATATTTCCAAGAATACAATTAAAAAATTTATATTAAAAATATATTTGATGTGTCCCAAATGACTCATTCAAATTTTTGTGTTTATTTAACACAAGATGAATATATTAGAAAATTTAATTACAAATATTATGTAAAAGAAATTAACTTGACAAATATAACACTGACACAATTTGCTGAAAATATGTTTTTTCTGTAATATTTTCATATTTTTCTCCAATATTCATGATTGTTACAAATTTTATTGTATTTATAATTAAATAAATAATATATAAATCACTAATTATAATTAAAATGTTAAGAATACTACTGATTGTTTTTTGGTAATAAAGTTGTAATATTGAACTATAATCTGTCTCTCCTTTCTTATATCAAAACTTTCAAAAGATCTCTTCTTATCGAAGAGATCACATAAGCATTCTTATCTTTGCGATAAGAAAAGCTAATTGTGAGAAAATAAAACTGCGATATAAATCTTTATAACAACTGAATAAGAAAGAATTTAATTATTATTATTATTTAACTGTCTGATTAACAAAATGTATGAGTACTAAAATATACATTATGAAAGATCGTAATGTATAATTAATAAGAGAATTATGAAGAAAGAACTGAAAAACAAATCATCGACTGATTTAATGCAAATAGATATGCAAACGAAATTAACATGATATATACTACAATTTGATTCGCATATTAATGCTGTACTTCGATTAGTTTTATCGCACATCTCTAACACAACAAATTTGTTATTCTATCAAATTTAAATGTTCAGCTCGTTTTAACTGACAATTAAGAGCTGCGCTCGTTTAAATAGGGATTAATCGCATCATTATCATAATTACTGTGGAACTTCAAATCGTTTGGGAAATAACGGTGTGCAATATTTTTCCGTCAAATTTAGTTTGCGATTTAATTATTAATGCCTACGTAAGTTGGAGCGTGTTGCAGTTTATTTATTAGTATACAACAACGATGCAATTAAGTTTTTTTTCTGCGCACGTATGCACAATCGATCTTTCGACTTTATGATATAAAGCGCGACAGTTAAATATTCTATGTATTACATCATAATCCAAAAAAGTTTATATTTAAAGATAATTTTTTTCTTTGGTTATACAGTTTCTATGTTAAAATACTGAAATCGTCAACAATTTTCGTTAAATAGTAAAATAATTGACTTACCCTTGCTTAATTGGTTAAATTATTCTTTCTGCTTAAATGTTGCTCTGCATTTTTCAATATAATTATTTATTCATCTTTTTTATTATTAAATTATTAAACATTCTAATTTGTAATATTCTAATTTACTGTTTAATATATGCAAAAATAAATAATAAAAATAAACAAACAGTTAATAGTTAATACAATAAAATAATTAGTAATAACCTCCGTTTGCAATCACATTTATATTACCGCTATCTAGCTCAATTTTTTTTACTGTTCTTCCAAAAAATGTAGAAAAATTCAGGAAAAAAAATTTATTTTTCAACATCTCTCTTATATTATCAAAAAAAAAAGTTTTTTAAAAAGAAATTTTAGGAGGAAAATCGGACTCTGTTTTGTTTTATTTCGGAGCTCACGAATTTGAGAGTGAAATTTCGCTGAAAGATTGCAAAAATGAAGAGTTAAAATATATAATTATTAATTCCATAATGTTGTTTTACGTGACAGGCCTTTTAAAATGTCAAAAAATTACGCGGGAAAATATTTACATATTATATCCCTCTCCATATACATGGAATAAAATATATTATACACCAGCGAAAAATGTCAAGAAATATATAGTTTAAATAGGCCATAACGATGATAAACGTGTACACGTCATTTTTCCTTCGCTCACATTGCACATGCAATCATAGAGACTTTTATGGGGAAAGAGCACACGTGCAGCTCGTGCCAGATCAATTGATATGCTAATGATTCGTCGTAAGAATTTTTATGCGTTTCATGCGGCAAATTTCATGCGAAATTATTATCGCTCGATATTTATGTCGTGCCAATTCGCACCCGGATTTCCTCTATATAGCCGAATTAGCAGTGTTAAAAAATTAGATTTTTGAGAAAATAGATTTTTTAGAAAAAATATTTCTCTTAAAAAAAAACAAGTATCTCTCACTTACATTCACGCTCGTTTGGCCTGATCCTGTAGATGACGAAGAATGTCTTGCACGCGGTGGAGATCGTCACTGTCGGACGAACGGCTACAACGGACACGACGAAAGAAGCCAATCACGAGGCAGCGCGGCACACGCGTTCGATCAATCGCGGTGCGGTCGCACGCGCCTGACCAATCGCAGCGCAGTCGTACGCGTCGTCCACAGACCACTTCGATCCGCACAATCAACAGAGTGAAGTTACTCGAGAGCGATACGAACGCGGCGACATTCAGCGACGTTCGAGGCGCCGTTCGATTACGCGCGACCGGCACGATGCGAGACGATATTCGAGCGGAAGCGATTCGACTGCAGTCGACGCCACGCGCGAGGTTTTCCTCTCGAATACGCACTCACGCGAATACTCCGATCGTCTCAAACGAAGCCGGTGGCACGTTCCAGCTTCCAGCTGCCACGTAAATACACTTTGTGCCGTTTGCGTCGTCGTGACAGTGAAGTCTGACGCACGCTGTGCGACTCGCAGCGTGCGAGTCACTACCTACGATCTTACGATATATCGAAGTGACGTACGTGCATATGGGATGGAGTCACTAATGCCTCAACACGTAATTAGATAATATGCTTATCGAAGCACGTATAGAAAATATATATATGATATATGCATCAAACATGAATGACCCATATACAAATTGCAACTCTCTTTTATAATTAGTTCATTAATTCTAGAGACTTAATTGTGTTAAATCGAATCTTTTTATATATTTATACCCTCATTGTAGGAATAGTAACTATTTCTACTATACAGATTTGAATATGTGTCACAACTTGAATAAAAATAATTCCACTTTGTGAAATTCCTCACTGTTTCATTATAGGACATTACGAAAATTTCTTTTGTGTGTGCACGTAAACCTTATATTCTCTTTCCCCTTTCTCTCTCTCTCTCTCTCTCTCTCTCTCTCTCTCTCTTTCTCTGTCTCTTTCAGTTCTTTCCACCCATTCACCAGACAGAACGCATCGCGTTCCACAAGACAATGCGATTCTGTATGACGATAATTCCAAGGGAAGAAAAAAATAATGGAAATAAAGAAGAATAAGTGTGTGACAAAAGCACAAGGTACCTACCTTTCTCGGAACACTCGCGACGAAATGAACGAACGATCTCTTCACCGGTGACTCTTACGGCACTGCGCCCGTAGTGTGACGCGCGTGGCACTGAGCGTGATTGGTCGAGAAGGCGCGACACAGCTGCGAACCGCGACGTTCCGACTGGCGCAGACTCATTCTCCGTCGATGCGATCCCGTGAAAATCCATACCGCGCGACTGACCACCACACCGTCACCGTGTTGCACTAATTATACAAGACGCGAGGGACCGAGGGTCTCTTGCGTAGTGTGCGCATAAATTATTTGCATACGTGCGTAGGTTATAAAAAAGCTTGGAGGGATTGCGTTAGCTACAACTTCGATCAATTTTTCAAACTTGTAAACTCAGTCTTG